GAGGCCTTCCATCAAGATGGGGGCTCGCAACCCTCAGTTCTCCCTACTGGCGTGGCACTCTTTGACACGCGGTTGCTGTATTCTCGATTAAAGAATCACGTTGAATATTATGAACGAATTTTCGTAATAGAATATTAGTGCCGATGAGCGCTCAAGAGTGAAGACTGTAATAGTCTTTTTTCATCATTGTTATTATTTTAAGTGGCTCGGAAAGATAATGCATTTCATTTCAGGAGAGAAGATTGATATCTTTCGAGGAACAACAGCACCGAAATCGGGCAATGTGGAAGGTAGTCGACTGCGGTCAACATGCTGCAAGTTCGGTTCATAAATGCACTATTCCGTTAGTGCAAGACTATGCCGTTGCTGAGGAGCCTCCAACTCACACGTCGAAGATCCTCAAGTTTGGCAAGGGTGCTCATCCAGAGTCTGTCACTTTTTCGCCCTCTGGACAGTAAGTCTTGGACGGTTCCGTGTTGGAGGAATATACGCTCGCTTTCCTCGGTCGAGTTCCAGATTTTTCACCAGTGTTAGAGAATATGGTCGCTTTTCTCGATTGAGCTCTGAAGTTTCCTCACCTATATACAAGTTTATATGCGAATTCGGGTAAAAGTGTACAAAAATCACCGAAAATCTCCTTAAATTTCCTCAGAATTCTCGAGTTATCACCAACAGATGTGTTCGACCATGTGAATATTTTCTAACACTGGTTTTGTCACTCACTGTGCAAGTTTGTATACGAATTCGAGTAGAAGTGTACAGAAACCAATGAGAATTTTCCCGAAATTTCCTCAGAATTTTAATATTGTCACAGACACATGTATGCATATTTTTCCACACTGGGTGGGTTTCAAGTTCACGTATGTTGATAGCTAATATAGACTCCGCAACTTGGTGTCTAAAAATGCAGCCATGTGCAGTGCGGGGGAACTGTACAGAGTATACTATGCTTACCGTGACGAAGGGGCGGAGCTCACTTAGTACACGGCTATTGATTCGATCAATGAATTCGACAGAGGTCCCCGGTTCGATTCCCGGGTTGGACATTTTACCGTCGTTAAAGGTTTTCGTGCATATCGCGTCGAGCTGTTCGTTTAATCGAGTTTTTCGATTCTCGCGGAAACCTCGGCATATAGAGGAGCGATTTGATCGATCTGTTAGCCTCCTACCTTCGTAGTTGAGTAAGAATAAATCTGCACGCACGCACAACTCGAAAGTGCCTGTTGTTGCGGTATATGCTCCGCTCGCTCCTCAATGTACACTTATATCCATATAGAGATCGTACAGCTTCCGCCGTGGTGTACTCTGAATTCTCGAGTCGTGCTCCCTTTGATCAGTTTTGGGAAAATATGCACATAATCAACTACATGTGTTGGTGGCAGTATGGAAATTCTGAAGAAAATTTGGAAAATTCTTGTTGGTTTCTGAATATTTCTACCTGAATTTTTATATATACTCCTAAAATTAGTGAGGAAATTCCTGAGATCATCAGCTGAGAAAAGCAAATATCAGATTCCTCCAACACTGCTTTGATGAGTGTTCTTCGTACATGGTTCAGAAATCACTGGTGACTAGTTTTTTTTCATAAGTTTTTTTAAACCTTCAATTTTTTACGAGTTTAGGTTCCTCGTGACTGGCGCTACAGACGGTCTCATTGAGGTCTGGAATCACAGAACCGGCAAACGAAACAAAGAGGATCTTCCCTACCAAGCGAAAAAAGAGTACCGCTATAATACCATCACTCACTCGTTATCAACTAGGCCTTCGTGACGAAGGGGCGGAGCTCACTTAGTCCACGTCTGTTGATTCGATCAAGGAATTTGACATAGGTCCCCGGTTCGATCCTCGGGTGGAACATTTTTCCGTCATTGAAGTTTTTCGTGCATATCTCTTCAAGCTGTTCGCATAATCGAGTTTTCCGATTTTTCCCAAAACCTCCGCATATAGAGGAGTCGTTTGATCTATCTGATAGCCTCCTACGCTTCGTAGTTAAGCCTGAATAATTCTGCACGCACGCACAAC